TCGCTCGTTCGCTCGTTCGCTCGCTCGTTCGCTCGTTGGTTCGTTTGCTCGTTCGCTCGTTCGCTTACCTTAGCACACCTTTCGGTCTCAGCTTGTTTTGAACCCAACAATGATTTAGCAATTGAGTGTATCTATTTTACTTGCAGATAATCTTCGAAGGAGTCCGCGGTAACGGCTACACAGGAGACGTAGCACTAGATGACATTGCATTTGTCAATGAAAATTGTGAGCGACCAGACGCTCTCTACACACACATCTAGCTACTAGAACAACAACTATGACATCATACCTTGTGCGTGTTTTCTCTTTTGCTTTGGATTCCATCCCTTGGTTGAGATTCGATCTTGGTCTTTCAAATGGCCAAACTTCGCCTGCCTTCGGTTAGTGCTCGTCTTTGATCGACAAGTGCTCCGCTGCGATCGACCATTCCTCGTCTGGGATCGATCAGTGCTCGGCTGGGATCGTTCAGTGCTCGCCTGGGATCGTTCAGTGCTCGGCTGGGATCGTCAGTCTTCGACGATAATTTGTCAATAGCGACTTTGATTTTTCAATTGCGAAATAACAGGCGCATACGCAATCAATCATTTAGCCTTCACGTGATAAGTAATAGTCGAACCACGTGACGTGAAGTAACTGGTCAGCATTGAAGTCAATTACATGTACATAAAAATCAACTCAGTTTAAAAAATCATGCAACTGCATTTTGAATCACTGTTAAAATCTTCGGATTTGCAAAGTATACTGAAATTACAGTTTTATAAGTTTTGGTAACATACCATTCCATTGAGAATGAACATATGAAAGAGCTAAATTACATTTGTTACGTTCTTTTGTCCTTCGCAATACCTCCGGCTTGAGCTCGGCGCATGTTCGGTAGAAGTTCGGCTACTTGAAATTTTTGTTTGTTCTTAGATGGAGGCTAGAAATGCAAATAATTCTAATTTTTGTGCATTTTTGCACTTCGTTTTGAGAATTCCGCTTTTCATTACGTGATAATTCGCACCTAGTTACAGTTTCTTACAAATGTTTAAACCAAAATTAATGCGTACATAGTTGATTAATACTCTGCAAATGCAGTGTGAAAATTTCTAGAAAATTTCTAAAACTTCTCACAGCAACAAAAGTGACGTCATCAACTGATTGTGTTGCCCCTAGCAACGTTAAAATTTACCGTGCGAGTAGGAAGTATACTGTAATTAAACTCTCTTGTTAGTCTGCAGGTTCATTTTCATTACCGCTGTAGCACRTCATTGGCTTTCCAATGGTATGCATTTTTATCCAATCACTGCACGAAACAACGTCATTATACAATATTTTCCCGCTCAAACGAAATTTTGTCGCGCGCCCCAAAGTATTTTTTATCTAGAACAGAAATTATTTTTGTAATCTATCACAGATGATATATTCTAAGTTTTTATGTTATTTTTCTATTCTATTGAGTAATATACAAATATTCCTTTTTCTTTTACTACCAAATTTGAATTCCCTTTATATCGTTATTTCCAAAATATATACATTTATAAATATTTTTCGTAAATATTTATTCGAGTTATGTATAAATTATTTATATATCTAATAAAAACAAGCCTAATATAATAATAGTGTTACCGTTCATTGATGTCTTGGGATTGTGTAGTGTATTTGTCGCCAATGAAATTTGGTGTTACTCGAACGAGCAGGCCTGGGGAGAGTCAGCGGTGTTCATATAATCGCGGGCGTACATTTTCTTTAAAATGACTTTGAATTCCCAACTTTATGGGTTAAGCTCATTTTTTTAAGGACAGACAAAGTTTTCTATTCGTAAAGGACTTTTTTGGTATTTGCCCTTAAACTTTTTATGGCCGCCATGTTAGTTTTCGTGAGTGATCTGACACATGCGCATATATGTATCTAATTCCCTAATTTTGGCCGCCATTACTGAATATAAAAATATAAAACGAAAAACGCTGTCCCAAGCACCTGTGACCTCCTCTATTTCACTCGTCTTATGTAACTTGTATAATGCAAGTGGCAGAGTTTTCATCTTCAGCGCTGTTGTAGGAAGGTACCATGTAATAGTCTTTGTTACTGTCCAGATTACTGAAGTCCAGGTACGGATTGTCTGCTAATAATAGTTCCTCAAATCGTTGCCGAAGTTCTTTGAATGATGGTCGATTGGTTGGGACATCTTGCCAACACTGGATCATAACTTGATAACTGGATAAATAAAGCACAAGTTCACGTGAGTGGGTACGAAGAGCAGTTTAAAAACCATTAATAATTCATGAAGGAAACACGATAGAAATCATGACCGTGAAGGAGGTTTTATATCTGATAGAGATTCGTCTTCATTTGCATAACTTGAACTTGGATTTTCTCTATCAAACATGGTTCATTTCGTAAAGAATTCAGTACACTATGAGAACATATACCATCAGTTTTTTAAGCCGTTCAATAAACTCGCAGATCGTGTTTTATCAGCTAGGTCTATAATGTTTTTAAATCCTGATAAAACACAGTTTTATTAAACGAGTTTATTAAACAGATCTTTTAGTATTTGACTGGGAAACGGTGCCGTACCGTACTGTGTCTTATATTGGACACAACTGCAGCGTGCAACATCACTGCTAATCAATAAGCCTCGAATACTATACACTGCAGTTAGGGTTACGTCAGATCATTCAAAATATTTTAATTATTTTAAACTCTACTAAGTTTTCTTTGACATCGAATCAATTGCAAGTAAATGGCAAATATATGAAAGATTGAAGAAGCAAGAGAGAGAGAGAGAGAGAAAGAGAAAGAGAGAGAGAGAGAGAGAGAGAGAGAGAGAGAGAGAGAGAGAGAGAGAGAGAGAGAGAGAGTAAGACAAAAGGGTATAGACTTCTTTTAGCTTGGGCAACATGTTTTGCCCATTTCAGACCTTCATTCACTACAGTATTACATGAATATTGATATACGACTTCAAATAAGTAATCGCATTTTCAAGCGAATGTCCTGAAATGGGAAAAAATTACGCCCAAGGTAAAGAGGTTGATTGCAACACTCACACTTCATCTGAACACATATCAGGTTTTTCCATTCTGTAACCATTGCGCAACTGTTTCGTGAGGTCACGTGTAAACATGGACGGATATGGAGCACCACCTAAACAAACTCAAATAAATGAATAGGATGACAGGGCAGAAAAACGGTTTTTGGCCTTTCGTCATAAGGACAGCTTTACACATTTAAGCTCAATATTTTGTAAACACGCTCTTTTGGAGTCAAATAGCAAAATATCAAATGCGACCAAAATTTATTGAACGTGTATTTGAGATATAAAGCCGTGTACTTTGGGAGATGTGATATTTTGATCAGCAGAAAAACTGACATTTTCGTGAATACTAATAAGTAGATTTACTCTAATTCGACAAAATTTTGTCACAACTTCCGAGCAGCAGTGACACAAATGAAACGCTTAAAAATTTGGAGTATTAAACTCAGTTAAATAAAAAAAATCGTGAAAGTAGCGGGCTTGTCGTTTTTCTGCCCTGTCGAATAGGATATAAAAGTGGCAACTCGTAGTGTTTTGGCCAATGATTAAATTACATACCTAATGTTGATATCTCCCATAACACTACTCCGTAAGCCCAGCTAAGAAGAAAAGAAAAATAGGAATGCTATAAAATTAAATTCTAAGTAATAAAAGTACAAATAAGAGTAGCCATTATTTTGGAAACATAAAAATAAACTTGCGCAAAATAAATACCTGTTATAAATCTCGCGTTCTGATTGGATGGGAGCGCGTGCATTATGAAAGCTTATAGCACGCAAGCGCACTTTCTATTTTGTCATGCGTATCCAAAATAACGCTTACTCTAATTTGTATTTTATGAAAAATAAAATAAAATAAAAAGCTGCTTGCTGTGCTGTGTAGTTATAAAGCACTTGGAGAAAGCGGAACACTCGACTAAACTGTCGAGAACCACTTCTCTCATGTTCTCCCAATCCCCGCGTGCTTCATAACTACACCAATAGCACACGTGGTCGTTTTCCATTTCCAAATTTATATATCTTACTTACACGTCACTCTCAGTGGTAAACACCTGATCATAGATCGCTTCTGGTGACATCCATTTGATGGGTAGTCTCCGCTGTACACGAGCATGATAGGCGCTCTCCTCGTACAGGTCACGTGTTAGTCCAAAGTCAGACACTTTGACTTGTTTGTTGTCAGCCACTAGGACATTACGAGCGGCGAGATCACGATGAACGAATCCTTTGCTGGACAGATATTCCTGGAAAATATGATACAAATTACCGTCTGAAAAAGTCTTCAATCTGAGAATGAGAATGTTGTCTAACAAATACATAGTTTCATTACAGAAAAAATGCCTTTGAAAATGGAAGTACGTTTATCATCATCGTATCACCATCGTAGCGCAATCATATCACGATTCCCGCCATGCAAATTTACGGTAACTCCATCAGAAATAGAGAGAATAATTTACTTGCACAGGACGTTTCTTCGCTGAAGTTTCCCCTCTCAATCCACACTATTGAGATACCATATCTAGAATATTTTGAACCATTTAATACTCGTGAACTCACCATGCAATGTTTTAACAGCTACCATCTTCTTTGGTCTGTTGTTCTTGATTAATTCTGGCGTTCCCATCAGCTTTGCCATGATAATTTGTTCTTCTTTAGGGGGTGGTTCTTGGTAGATGGCCTTGAACACCTTACCAAATGCTCCTTGTCCCAGTTCTTCCATGAATGTGATATATTTTGGATTCACCTCCCAAGGGTCACTTGGCTTGTCTTCTTGATCTTCTGTTTCCGCTTCCATATCTTTAGAAAATACAACTCTAGGAAAACAAGAGACATAAGAATTAATGAACGAGTGACACCTTCATTACACAGGGTAACCCCTTTCAGTTACAAGAAAGATTTAAAAAAAACTTGATTGCTGTACTTTTCGCAGTTGTAAAACACTTGGAGATTGGCTAAACCATCCGCTACGCGTTGTAGCACTCGCACAGGTTTTCTACTTCTTCGTACGAGTGCAGATTGTTAGAGCGGGACTGAGAAGCAATCGAGGGAGGGGGGTATTAATTCTTGTATACTTACACATGCTGTGGGTTTTCTCCATCTTTTGATTTTCTTCTTTTCTTTCTTCTTATGCAGCACACCACGACAAGTACRATGATGAGGACAAGAACAAGGGAACCAACACCAGTAGCTATTTTTGCTGAGAGGGGGAACGCCACCTCTGTAGGGTGGAAAAAAGTAATTGATATATAACATATCACACCACCACCACCGCCACCACAACCACCGCAACAAAACGACAACAGTGGCTGCCCTTGCTGAAAAGAGGACACGCGCTGTTTAGGATGGACAAAAATTAACATCATCAGCACCCACACCATCTCCAAGATCTAATCCTACCCTTGAGTATTGTTTCTTTCTAGCATTTGATTTACTGTGATAATTCATTTACCGTAATCACAAAAAACAAACTTACTCTTTGTGCTTTCAGTCGTGGCTGGAACACTTGCAATTGGAGGGGAAGCTGCGGTTGAACCATCAGAATTATTTAATAGTCGAATTGTATGTTTAGCAGGCAAGCAGGCAAGCAGGCAAGCAGGCAAGCAGGCAAGCAGGCAAGCAGGCAAGCAGG